GTATATATGTGTGTGTGTGTGTGTGTGTGGTGTGTGTGTGTGTGGTGTGTGTGTGTGTGTGCATGTGTATATATATACATACATACATGTGTATATATATACATACATACATGTGTATATATATACATACATACATGTGTATATATATACATACATACATGTGTATATATATACATACATACATGTGTATATATATACATACATACATGTGTATATATATACATACATACATGTGTATATATATACATACATACATGTGTATATATGTGTGTGTGTGTGTGGTGTGTGTGTGTGTGTTGTGTGTGTGTGTGTGGTGTGTGTGTGTGTGTGTGGTGTGTGTGTGTGTGTGCATGTGTATATATATACATACATACATGTGTATATATATACATACATACATGTGTATATATATACATACATACATGTGTATATATATACATACATACATGTGTATATATATACATACATACATGTGTATATATATACATACATACATGTGTATATATATACATACATACATGTGTATATATATACATACATACATGTGTATATATATACATACATACATGTGTATATATATACATACATACATGTGTATATATATACATACATACATGTGTATATATATACATACATACATGTGTATATATATACATACATACATGTGTATATATATACATACATACATGTGTATATATATACATACATACATGTGTATATATATACATACATACATGTGTATATATATACATACATACATGTGTATATATATACATACATACATGTGTATATATATACATACATACATGTGTATATATATACATACATACATGTGTATATATATACATACATACATGTGTATATATATACATACATACATGTGTATATATATACATACATACATGTGTATATATATACATACATACATGTGTATATATATACATACATACATGTGTATATATATACATACATACATGTGTATATATATACATACATACATGTGTATATATATACATACATACATGTGTATATATATACATACATACATGTGTATATATATACATACATACATGTGTATATATATACATACATACATGTGTATATATATACATACATACATGTGTATATATATACATACATACATGTGTATATATATACATACATACATGTGTATATATATACATACATACATGTGTATATATATACATACATACATGTGTATATACAATACATACATACATACGTACATATATGTGTGTGTGTGTGTGTGTGTGTGTGTGTGTGTGTGTGTGTGTGTGTGTGTGTGTGTGTGTGTGTGTGTGTGTGTGTGTGTGTGTGTGTGTGTGTGTGTGTGCATGTGTATATATATACATACATACATGTGTATATATATGTGTGTGTGTGTGTGTGTGTATAAATATGGGTTATGATATGACATAAACGTTCGGCAAAGAGGTGTAACTTGCATCTGTTTGTCAGGGAGATGAAGAAATGATTATTGGTGCCGAGACATAGTGAAAAGACACTACCATGAGTACGATTAATTCTAGAGGTTAATGCATGTCTTTTATAAGGAAATCAGAAAATACATTTACTTAAGTATTGTCAGTAATTTTATGCACATATACTATAAGATGGAAAATTTAAAATAGCTGAAATAATGATTAAGAAAATGCAGATATTGCGCTTCACGCAGGTATGCATATAACTTCATGTATCAGTCAAAGGGGCAATGCATACAGAAATTTGATTATAGGTTTAATTGATGTTTACATTCAAGATTTTCAGTTATGCTTTTTATTATACTGCTGATAAAAACATACAAAATATAGGTTAAATTCAAGGCATTCCTTAGAGGCTCCTTTGATGATACCCACTGCAGTTCTTGGGCAGTGCTTCAATCTGCTAATCTTAGGCAGGATGCCATACAGAGGTAAGTATATTGACCTGCAAAACCTGGAGTTGACCCCACTTGGTCATCCAAGCAATCTCTGGAGTTGGTCATCCAAGCAATCTCTGGAGCGTCTACCAACTCATCTCCATGCAGTGATTACATGAGGAGATCAGGAAATCTCATAGCAGCTAACCTTACTTACAATTTACTTTACAGGTATATATTGGTTTATTGTGTTGACTTTTTAGAGATGGCTACTGCTCTAATAACAACATAAATTTGATTATTACAATTAAACCACCTCATAACGAAAGGCTTCTAAGTATTCTATAACCACTACGCTCGCCTTCAAACAATCCATCTTCTCCGAGTCACTAATTCAAGAGGGACACGAGGCCCTCCCTCTGCGGCCCCTCTGCCTCCCCTGTTTCGTGTCTACCCTGACAATACGATCAATAATTCTAGTGCTGTCTGTTTCTCCTCGCTCTACACTAATACAACTACAGTATATGATCGTTTATATTAATATTTGCATACTTTCTTCCTGATATGTTGTGCATATCAATTTATTATTATAACAATATTATCAATGGTGCTTGGATTATT